AACAACATGAACTGTTGTCTATTTGATTATGTAAATATTAGTCAGTTTTAATTAACCTTAGTTGTAATAATTGCACATAATACACTTGCTACAGCTATCTCGTGTCATGCAATTTCCTCTTTTGGTAGGAAATTGAATTAGGCTTGGCTAACTAGCATTTCGTTTAATGTACTATATAAACTGCTAACTCATGTTATTTAATCATGCATACTGTATACAATATAGTACGCAATTGAATTGGTGACACATACGTACTATATTTTCAAGTGCTAACTAGGTTTTGAATGTATTTTATCATTTTTGTTTGAGGGGGGGAAGGGTTAGGGGATTATGTGATAATTATCTCTAATAGATGGTCAATCTATATTCATAATAGAAGTACAGACGTTTTATATATTTGTACGCTTGAGAATAAACACATTTTGAGGAAAACCTAAGGTTTATTTTTAATGTTTAGTTGTTCATTTTAATAGGTAATTATTACTATTAGAAGTTAGAAATATGTTTAGAAAATACACTTCTTGTTGTCTAATTTTAAGTAAAATACTATTATGCTTTTGTTCGATTCATAAATACAATTTTGGTTTTTCAAGTATTGACTATTTTAATTAAAAGAAACTTAATCAATATTAATTTAAATAATTTGATTTGTTTTTGTTATAATTGTAAATGTTGCGTATATTTTTTTATTGTTTTAACTTTTGAACTATGTTCGATTATGATATTATTTTTAATAAGAACATTAAAGTACGGTAAAGAAATCTGTTAACTATTCAAGAGGACAGTCCTTTCTAAATAATATAGTATACAGCAATATGTTATTGTTAATAACTGCTGTTAATGTCGAAAAACGTAACATTTCATTTCCTATTTTGAGAACCCTGAATCATATACACTGTATTAAATTCTAACATCAAGGGAAGATCTTCGTGTTGCAATTTGTTCGTGACCATTCCAAACAACCCCGTAATTGAATTTCACACAACCCTACAACTGAGGGTGGACAATAACGTGTTGGGACGTTTTTCTAGGTAACTTAATCTCTCCATTCGCTTTCTCTTGAATTTGCGGTGTAATTGTTTTTGTATAGAAGGACTTGAGTAGAGAAACAAAATGTGTAGTACTTTGAGAGACAACAAGAGTTGGATGTACTAATAAAATTCGTTAATAATAAGTTCATTGTTAAGAATAAAACTTTTCAATTCAAATTAAACATTACTATGTGATTGGCTCTTTTGTTTTATTGTTGAATGTTCTGAATAATTAATATTTTAACGTCAGGGAAAATACTTCGTTTGGAGTCCCTTGTGTGTGGTATCTTCCGGTGGAAAATTGATCCTGTACGGCCATCTTCGACTGTTTTTACGCTGCTCGGGAATAGTGCTTGCCAGAATTTAAATTAGAAATTAATGTTGGAGAGCGAATAAAAACTATTCTAGGATTCTGTGTAACCTTTTATGTAGGTCATATTTATTAAGGGATGCAAAATGGGAATACATGAAAACGAGTAACGGGCACTTTATGTTATTTTATTCGTTATGAATCTAAACCATTTATTTAATATAGGTAAGGTCTTAACATGTACCCTTACACATATAGTATAAATACGCTCCATTTATATACATAAAAGTATTTTATTGAATTTACATTTCATTTACTTAAAAATTATTAGTGTTATTGAAAAAAGTTATGTTATAACTAAAATAAATTAACCATTAGGTATTTATTATTTGTATTAATTTTCTTTTATTATTCGTTTGAAAATATTTTATAGTTATAGACTTATAGTATATTATATAGTTTATCTTTTTTAATTTTTGTGTAGTTAGGAGATTTTAGTTAATTATTAATTGTATTGTATTTGTCAAATTAGTGATTATGATCAAACATTGAAATGTTTATTACTTACGAGTTCTGACAGTTTAGCATTAAACATTAACATTAATTAGTTTAGTTACTTAATTAAAGAAAAAGCGGGAAAATCACTCTGCTGTTTACAAGTTGTAAGTGTATCTCGTCATCGAGTTGGTAGCTGTTATAAATGTGTTAAATTTGAAATCAATAATAAACCATTGCATATTATATTAAAAATGATTCTAACCGTAGATGGTTAGCGTGTATTGTAAATGAACAATGCATTTATTATTAATTACTTTAATATTTAATATTTATATAATTATTGTTATTAACTTTTAAATAAATATCGATGTGTCGTAGAATGGTGTGAATAGATTTATGTTATAAATAGCTTACAATGTATATTATTATTTTTAAAATTTCATTGTGTATATTTACTATTTAGTGAATAATACGTATGTAACGGTTTTTAGTCTTTATAAATAATATTTTTTTGAATTACAAAAATATAACTTTTTTTCCTGTGGTACCACAAATGGGAAAAGAACTACGAAAATATTACTTTCACTTAAAAAATATTTTCACTAAAATCGTTATTTTGTTTAAATATCCAATTTCATATGTTTATTAAAAAAAAAAAAAATAGCTGCTTTGCTGCTTTAAGAATAACTTGTATTTTGTTTCCATAGCTATTAAAATTAAAATTGTATAAGTTTATAACTACATAATAGTTAGCAGATTTCTATGGTTTTGGTAAATGTTATCAACATTTGAACTTCAAACAGACTAAAAGAGTCAGAATTTTTCGAAAATTATATCATATTTTAAAAATTCTATTATAAATGTTGATTGAAAAATTCATAACTCTTATGTCATTTCAAAGTGGAGAATTAAAAAATGTTTACACCTCTTAAAAACGCCCTCCTTTTCCCTTCAAAAAAAAAAAAAAAATTAATAAAAATAGTCATTGTAAAATCTATACGTTAATTTGGAAAAATTAAAATTATATTTCGATTTTGTAGGAATTTAATTTTCTAAATAAAATACAGTAATAAATTTAATATTTCTAATGCCAAACAATTATCAGTCTTTAGCTCATTTAATTCTATTTTTTTTTTTTTAAGTAATAAATAATTGATTATATAATAGTATATGACATATGTACATTTTCAAACCATTGTGAATACTTAACCATAATAATAGTTTCTATGATTGTTACAAAATCAGTAGGTATTATTTTTATATACTGTTGATTATCCATCAAGTATAATAAATTAATAGCTCAGAAAATAATAAATAATAAAAATATTGTTATATATTTAATATTATCTGATTAATTCTACAATATGAATAACTTCGGTATTTTTATATATTTAAAAAATATATAGGGTCTAGGTGACAGACCTATATTATATTATTATCCGGTAGAAACGGAAATGTTTTCTTTAGTGTTTGGGACCTTCTAATAATAATTATTACAATTAATTATGACCATTTTGGACGTAGCTGAAGGGAAGTGGAAATGTAGTAGTTGATGTTGCAATGACCCTTTATGTGCCAGATGGCGAATATTGTTTCGGGTGCAGTGAGTGAGAGTGAGCGAAGAAGAGACCCTATCCATATCCCCTTTTTGATTTTGACAAGGATTTTGCTGTCAAGCGTAGTTAACGTAAGATCGGAATCCAGATTTATGTGCCGAGGGGAAACTTTTATATTATATCCTTTTTTTATTTGGTTATTCGTAAAAAGAAATACTAAAGACAAAACGTAGGTACCTATATTTCATTTAATTTCATAACATTTGGTTATTATAAAATCTATTTACCTACATATATATATTTTTAACTATTGAGAAATGTTGACTAAAATTAATTTTTAGTTTAAAATATTTGTAAAATATTTTGTTCATTTATAATGTTACAAGTTAAATTACTTTTGTTTTATATTTAATATAATCTAGTGATTGTTCATACTTGAAATAATTGCAAAATAAATAAATATATAACTAAAAAATTTAAATTTAAAATAACAGTTTTTAAATATTCATTACAAAGTTGTAAGTTGTACAGCTATATTGTAAAATTATAATTTCGAATTAATTTTTTGTTTTTAATTGACTAGTAATAATGAAATACATACAGTAAAACTATTTCAATATGAAACTATTCTGTTTAAAATCTTATAGCATAATTATCTCATAAACTAATAAACTATAACATGAAATATACATATGAATATTTTTAAATTAAATACATTATATAGGCATCTATGTTTATGTTTATTGTGAGTGAGAATATTGAGAATGAAAACACTATGTATTTTTTTTTAAGTAAAAAACACAATGTATATTCTTTGATTATTAATTAAGTGTATTAAAATATTCCTGTATATTAACTTAAGCTATACTATGAACATAATTTTGATTTGATAATTTATTACTATGAATAATTTAGTTTATAGTTTTTATTTCATTACTCCATTTGTATGATATGATATGATGGCAATCATTTCTGCGACTGAACAATAATATTGCACTCTGGTGAACGGCGACACTGACGGGCACTAACATTGCTTGCCAGTTGCTAGTACTTGCTACTGCTTTTAGTAGTGGTTATCGTGACCCGTTCGCGAGTAGTCGTATGCTCTGTGCGCTTTACTGTGTGAAATTTATAATAAAAAATAATATTTTTAAATAATATTTACATTTTATATTTAATTATTTGTATGTAATATTGATATATTTTTTATCACACGTGTAAATAGATATTGTTTGCGATTTAATTGTTCGTCCTAAAGATATTAAATTTAATAATTTAGTATGCAATTTGTATCGAGTGTATGCATAATGATCGTATACAATTGATACTCCTGTAATTTATTTCGGTGTTTTCGAAAAACCACCGAAATCAGGTAAACATTTTAATTTTTAAAACTTGTGTTATTGTTTTTGAGTTTTAATTTGTTGTTGACATTAATAGGTATTTTTTTGATTTCCTCACGACAATTTGAATGTGATAGATAATTCCGAAATTGCTTTGCAAGATACAAATATATTTAAATAAATTAAATATCTAATAGTTTTTTAGAATTAAAAATTGGTATTATTTAAAATTATTTAATAATTGTCTTTTTTATTGTTTCAGGAGTTACCATGAGAGAAAAGAAGAGTGGTGCTTTAAGCAAAGTTCAAAAAATTAAAAAACGCCTGAGCCATAGTTTTGGTCGACTTTGTAAGTACTAATTATTTTGTATTATTATCTTCTTGCTCAAATCTATACTAAAATAAATACATTTTTGATATTAAAGTTAATCATTGAAATGTTAATTAAGAATATATTATACCTATAATATATACCTATATATAGGAATAGAGTATTGACAAATATCGATGTTATGTCATTTGAACGGTAAACTGAGGATGTTTGTTATTAATATTACGGTTACCTGTGTAATGTTAAGACAGAGTTGTATTTCTATCTTAGTGGAATGCCTACGCGGTCTGTCAGCCTACGGATTCTGCGAACTTCTGACGCGTTTCTTTTCTTTGTGTAAAATAAAATGATAAAAATATTATACATTTAAAGTGCTCACTAATTTATAATTTTTATTGCTGCAGTATGTAAAAAATACTGTTGTTTGTTATACTTCTTCAATCGGTTAATAATTTTTATTTTTATTCTATGTTTACGGATTTAGTCTCTAAATTGGAATCTCTAAAATAATTACTTGTATTTTAATTCCTAAAGATTATACTTGTATTCCTATTTTTTTTAAAAATTATTATTGGTTCTTAAATATAAATTAATATCTATTTGTATATTATTAAAATATCGTTGTTTATACATCTCAGACTTTATATTGTAGTCTATAGGTAGGGGGTATTCTAAATAATTTCACTCTTAATTTTTTTTTGCATTACTTATTTTAATAATTTTTTGTATTATTATTAGCTGTTAGATAATGCGTTTGGTACTGTTAGTAAATTGAATTAAATATGGAAATTATAGAATATTTTAGCACATGAATTATTTATAGTTTATAATTGGTATGGTGTATATCTTAGATATAATATTTTTTACCTTAATTACTTTCGTTTAAAATATTATTGTAATTCTGTCATATTAATATTTCTGTTTTTATATTGTATACTTACTGATATATTTAAAATATCTTTGTTTTAAATGGTCTTATGCATATTTCTATGTTTAATTTGATTAAAACATAGTTAAAATTATTTATCATTCGTAGATTCCAATTTATAACATTTTTTCCTAAATTTATTTATGAGTATGATAATATAAAGGCATTATCTACAACATATTAAATTACATTTTTACTATAAATATTAGAATAAATTAAATTTTACTCACTTTTGATATCGTCAATGTTTTTTCTAATGAAAAAATTATATACTAAATTGTCTGTATTTCGCTTAGTACTTTTCTTTCTATGTCTCACAAGTCACGATATTATATTGTTAGTATTATGTTTTTATATATATATATATATATATATATATATATATGGTAAATGGTTATAAAATACGTCAAAGTAAAGTGCTGCACAGGTTTGTTTTACTCTATTATCTAGATATATTTTCTTTTGTATCATATGAAAAAGTTTATTGTATCTCTAGTTTTACAATAATGATATTATGGTTAACCTATGTTAACCATGGTTAAATGAGCTATGGAATACCTAGTAACGTAATACAGTAATGCTCAATAATACGGGTTTAAACACTGATGTATTATGTATTAAATTAATAGGATGATTTATAAATTATTTATTACTACGTAAATTGTGGTCAGTTACCGTTCTTATGCATCTTTGTTCATTAAGATTTTAACTTATGAACTATATGTCTATGTATAAAATAAAGCTCAAGAATTATTTTAAGTTTTATTTATTTCTAATTTATGAGCAAGCAAGAGAATATCTTAAACCATTATTGGCGAACATTTTAGATGTTGAAATTTATAGGCATACAAGTTATGAAATGTTTATAATATTAGTTTTGTATTCAAAATATTAAATTGAAATTTTATAGTTACTTTTTTTTATGTCGTGTTATTGAAATAATGAAGTATTACAACGATTAATTTTGTACAGTTATGTTTTTAATTAATTCGAGGGTCTATTAATCCTCCATGTAGTTAGAAAAGACTGCAGACTTCCTCCATAGGGGTTATCTTTTATTAGTAGAATTAAGGTTATTTCATTCTCAGTGTTCTACCGAAATTTTAATTTTTATACTAAATTATATCGTTTTAAGTGAAATAATAATAATAATAATGATAATTATAATCTCCATAATTTTTTTGTTATGACTCATTCAAAACTTCCTTATAGATTACAATGTAGTAATATGCACGTCCATGAACAATCATTACAGAATATTGTAAGACAATTTGAATTAAATCAGGTTATCATTATCACTTTGATCTTCTGATATACTTTAATATATATAAATAACATATATGTGTAAATATCAATAATAAAAATAGTTATAACAAAAATAGTGTGGTATATTCAATAATTATTACATATTTATAAACTTGAATTTATTTATCTTAGAGAAATTGATATACGTCATAATTTTAAAACTATATTATTATAGTTTTCGCTGAAATTAAATAAATATTTTATCAGTATGACAATTATTGCCTCGAGGCTCACTCGTCTCATGTTTGCCTTGGCTGTTAGACGTCTGGCTGATGATTCATTTTCGTGCATAGGCATTAGGTAGGCAGGGGTGCTTAACATGTGTTGCAGTATGTACATTTTACATTTATGATACATAAAATGGTTACAGATTACTACATACTAAATCCTATAGCTTAAATTGATGTTATAATTTTAATTTATGATGTGTGTTTAACTTTGAATAAGCTTAATAACTTAAATCGATAATAATACATTTATAATTTTTAATAAAATATTCTGATTTTCTAGTTAATACATATTATTAATTATTTTTAATTTTAATATTTATTGATAATTGTAATGAAATCAAACATAATACATAATATTATACCAGATGTTAACTACTCGCTTACTTTAATTTAGCACAGGATAGTAGACTGCTAAATTAAACTTTTCATTTCACAAGTCATCGTATTCGAAAAAAACATATTTTAGCAAAGGTTAAGTTAAGACTTAGAAAACTTTTTTTTTTTAAATAATTATAGTTTTTTTAAATTAATAATATCTATTTAATTTAGATATAGATATTAACTATTAAGCAAAAAATTGTACTCCATATAATGTCATTATTTTTTCGTCGAAATAATGTTAAACAGATTATATTTTCAGTAATCCAAATTAAGTTTTACGCGTTTGTGGGTTTTTAAAAATAAGCCTGTAAGTTGATACATAGGAAGTAGAATAAATATACGAATAAGAGTAAATATAAAAATTGGTAGTTATACGTGCGTTGAGTTCCGGAAAACAGTTTAAACCCTAATTGTCATTCGACGCGCATGCTTCGACATACCCTGCGCATGTGTAGATCATAAAAACCAAACCAATACTATGTTGTTAGTCTCTATGTTCACACCGCATTAAATCACGTACTTTCTTCTTAAATAAAATGTTAATCTTTTTGCAATATGTTATTTATTCTTTGTGTTTATTATATCTAATCAAGAATCAACTGTAAGAAGATAGTTTTTATATTTCGAGCTATGAAAAACGATTGTCAATTATTTTAAATATTTATTTTAGGCCACAATATAAAACGTTTATTATTCAATACGTAATATATATTGATAAATAATGTATATATTATACATTTTCCAATAAAAAAAAAAGTAAAATGAAATTTGGGATATATTATTTGTTTCGTTACAAACCGTAGTGTTTTCAACTGTCAAGTGTACTGACTTTAAAAGCTTTGGTATTTGTCTTTGAATAAGTTAACCCCATTTTCCAAGAGAGATAAACTTGTCGTTTAAAATCTTTCAGAGGGGATGTCTTTATCCTAAAGGTCTTATGTGAATTCGTTCTTTCTTAACACCTGTTTCTTAGGTTAATATATATATATATTATATACGTATTGTGAATTTTGTTTGTAAAATTTCATGAAAATATTTTATACCTAAACTATTAATTAGACATTATTTAGCTTTTTAATTTAACATATTTTTGATACATTTCATGGTTTATATAAACATAATATTTGAAGTCAAGTGTTAATAATGGATGTTCATTGTCCATAAATAAATACTTTATGACTATACTTTAGCGTATATACTATTTTATTGTCGATCTGTACATAGCAAAGATAATCCAAGAATCTAATATATTTTCGGTTATTTATACATATATGATTTTAGCACTAAATATTATACTTATGTTGAGTGATGCTATTTTATTTTAGTTTTGAGAATGGTAAAAAGTATTTAATTCTGGTCGTATTTTCATTATTTTTAAATGATCTATAAAAACTCTTAACGTATTATAATTTTTCCTTATCTTAATTTTCTATATATTTTATTTTAATATTTTGATAAATATAAGCTATACACATAAAATAAATATAATAAACTATTTTGTAATAAATTATTTTTTTCGAATATTGTTTGCTTTTAGTTATAATTTATATAGGTGAAAATTAACATTGTTTAAGATAAACTAAGTACAATTGTTAATTGATAATAGGTATATCATGGAAAAATAGCTCATATTTAAACAATTTTAAGTAAAATTTAAGTTGTTTTTTTTTTCAAATAAATTATAAAATTCTTGGACTTTTATGTTTTCTGTTACATTTGTTTCATGTTTAGTTTTATATTAATAAAATAGTTTTAGACATATCTAACTATTATCAAATGTAGTTGTTCGAAAACCTCGATTTATACAAAATATCTGAATCATTGGTAGGTATAAGCCATTTGTAAAGGTAAGATTATCGGTTGACATATTTTCAAAAATCTATCGTTATTAGTTTTGTTGTTGTCTTCAATGATTTATGGTGAATTTCTACAGGAATGAAAATAACAATAGCGCCCCATAGGGGCATAAGTAAACGCTAGGATTATCCTTTTGCACCGTGCCTACATTATATACGTCTATATATCAAACAAGCAAGGATGTTCTTAGTCGTGTTCTATATTTTGAATCAATAATAATATTATATATTCATACATTTAGTTAAATGGCAGACATATTATTGATATTGATTTTATAATGTAATATACAATTTTATTTATTATTTTTTGTTTTTGTT